TACCATAAATCAAAAACTAGCCGGGTGTGGCAGCGTGCGCCAGTAGTTCCACCTCCTTGGAAGGCTGAGGCGGAAGGATTACCGGAGCCCGGCAGGTCGAGGCTGCGGTGGCCGGGAGCGGCCGCTGCACCCCAGTCTGGGCGACAGAGTGAGACTCCAACTCAAAAAAAAAAAAAAAAGTTGAGAGGGAGGGAGAGAGATACACAGACCCTGCTCAAAATTCTGAAGCCCGAGGAGTCTGTTTGTGATCCTTCTTTGATGCGGTTTTGGAGGGGAACTGATCCCCCGTGATTTCTAGGTACTGATCGACTTATCCAAAGAAGATCTGATCAGGGGCTTTTCGCAGTGGTAAGTGCGCCCTTTCGTCTTGTCACTGTTGGTCTGCTCGCGAGACGTTGTCTCAGACGGCCGCCCAGTCTCTGTCCAGAGCTTCTCTGCTCAGTACCGTCTCCGTTCTTTTGGTGAGCGAGACAGTTCGGCACCCTTATGGACGGCGTTCCTGCCTGCAGACCTCGCTGACCCGGAAGACCTCTGACTCCGGCCTCGCCTCGGCTGGCCTACGGACAGAGAGGGTCTGCTGTGCACAGAGACCGGGCGGCCTGGCTCGCCAGCGCCCCGTGACGGACGTGCGTCCAAACGTGGTTGATTGTCTTTCAGGTACGAGCTGACGCCAGACGGCCAGCCCAGAGGCTGAGGATGAGAGTCACGGTCACCTGGGTGGTAAAATGTGTATATACGTGTTTTTCCTTGGGGTTACGTCCATCAAATATATGGGTTCTTTGTCATCTAAGTCAGAGCAGCCATCGGATGGAAATAGACGCATACGCCATTGTGGGGAGCTTGGCTGTGTGACTGAATGGCACAGGGAAGAGGTGGAGTTACTTCTCAGCAACGACTGCCCTTCCCTGGGTGGGTTTTATTGTTCGAACCCAGGAAGAAACGGCACATTGGTTCCTAGCAAGTCATCCACACCTCAGTGGCGGCTTCTCACTTGGGGCCGGTCATGACCCGCCGCCTGATGGGGCCTTTTCTGAAGGCTGTGCCAGAAAGGGTCCGTCCGGCTGGCCAGGAGAGGCCGCCTCTTCCACGCAAGCCAAAAGGGGCCCCACCCCCGACCGCCAGCACCTCGCACTGCCGAAGCCTTCCAGCTGCCGCTTGTCTGCCTGGAGATCTGTTCCTTCGCTTAACTGGGAGCCGAGATGTAGTTCCCTCACGGCAGCAGCGTGACAGTGAGCTGCTGGAACACCTTGAGCCCAGCGCACCCGCGCGGTCTAAGGGCCAGACTCCAGCACCCAGCATCGTCTCCACGGAAAAACTCACGCCCGCTCCACACCCAGGTCTGCACTGTCTCTCACAGCAGGGTGCCGCAGTCTTCAGGAGCGGCGCTGCCAGAGGAGAGAGGCAGCTTCCTGTATCCCTCTCCCATATGTTTGGGAATTCTGCTCCACCTTCTACAGCCTAAATGACATGTTAAAAGCAACATATGTAAACTGTATTTAAACAAGTGCCTAGGGCCAGGCGCAGTGGCTCACGTCTGTAATCCCAGCACTTGGGAGGCTGAGGCGGGAGGATCGCCTGAGCCCAGTTTACGACCAGCCTGGGCAACGTAGTGAGACCCCATCTCTACAAAAAATAAAATAAAATTAGCCAGGCATGGTGGCACGCACCTGTAGCCCCAGCTACTCAGTAGGCTGAGGCAGGATTGCTTGAGCACAGGAGTTTAGGGCTGTGGTAAGCCGTGATCGTACCACTGCACTCTAAGCCTGGGCCACAGTGAGAACCTGACTCATAAATAAATGAAATAAACAAGTGCCTCTTTTGCATTTCAAGCTTTATAAGCCCAAGTCTACTTCGCGTCCCCTGTGTGGTCCCCAGAGCTGTCGTCAAGGCCATGTCCCCTTCTCTCTCACCCACACAGGCCGTGCTCCCTGCCGTTGTGTCCTGTCCCCACGCTGCCTTTGCTGCTGCTTTTCTGACGAAATAAAGCTTTTGTCGTGTTCTTCTTATAACCTATCTATGATTTCCTGTTTTCTCTAAGGCCAAAGCCCAATCCCTGATGTTTGCCTTTTAGAGATGATGTACTCTGGCTTCTAGTTTCCTGCTACCTTATTCACAGGCAGAAGATGTGCTGTTCCAGAACAGTCCAAGTACTGCGCCCTGCCGGGTCAGATCCTCGTCGAGCCAGTCCGTGAGGAGACAGCCTCTCCCGCCACCCACAGCATTCACGGTCAAGACCATGCGTTTTCCATTTAACAGGTCCCAGCTTCATAACACCCCATGACCAAAAATGTTTATTGAGTATCCACTAAGGTCACACACTATGCAACTGCTTATATTGTGTTTGCGATTTAATGTTTCTGCTTATTCCTCAATTACAGGATGCCTCAGCTGGGTTTTGCCCTCACTGTCCAAGAACATGCTACGTACACAGAAGGTGCATGATAAAATCTGCTTGTGTTTCTGCCGAGGCATCTATTTCGAAGGACAAGTTCTCATTATAAAATGGGGCAGTGATGTCAACCCTGCCCACTTCGTGATGGTGTCATAACACTCCCTACATAGACTGTGTCTGGAGAATGTTAAGACGCCAGGAAGTGTGAGGAAATGTACCATATAGTACACGCAGTACATGCTAAATACCAGCAGCCCTGAAACAACAGCTCATGAAGACAAGCGGAACCCTCCTCCTCCTCGTCCAAACACAGAGACCCAGTTGAACCACAAATGATGTTTACCTTAAACTTGGTCAGTTTAAAAGCAACACAGGTAAAGTCCTCAGCGATGGTCTGGAAGAAAGCCCAAGAGTGTCCAGGAGTCGGAGGGGAGTTGGTATTGAAGGGAACCAGAGCCTCGGCCCCCCAGGCAGAAGGCCCTGTGGGCGGGGCAGGGGGCCAGAAAGGTCTCTCGTCAGGAAACACGTCGCTGCCAGTAAGGACAAGGGTGGCTGTCAGCGGTGGCAGGGGCAGTCAGCCGACCTGTCCTACGGGAGCTTTAGGGTCTGAGGTCACACATCGGCTTGGTGCCGAAGCCCCAAAACCTGGCAGGGAGTGGGAAAATTGGCTTAGAACCTGGGACGCCGTGAAGCGCTGACGGAGGCACTGGGCACACGCAGGCCTGCGGCGGCCGGTAGCTGTCACTAAAGGGAAACGAAGACAGACTTTAGAAAAATTCCGACCGGGACAACAGAGTGAGACCTGGTCTCTCCCCAAAAAAAACTAGCCGGGTGTGGTGGCATGCCTCTGTAGTCCCAGCTACTTGGGAGGCCGAGATGGGAGGACTGCCTGAGCCCAGGAGGTTGAGGCTGTGGTGAGCCGTGATCGTGCCACTGCACTCCAGCCCGGGCAACAAATACACATAAATAAAAAGACACGCTAAACGTGTGAGGCAGCTGACCACATACCGCTCAACTTCACGGCCCATCTCCTCGCCAGCGGGCTGGACATCGGGCTTTGCCCGTCGAGGGCAGCGGGGACCACGAGGCTGGGGCGGGAAGAGGGGCCTTTCCTCCGCTGAGGGGCCGCCGTCCAGGCACCGAGCTCGCCGGCACGCGCCACCTGTTCCCGTGACCAGTCTTCCGCTTCGGCGGGGGCCAGTGCCCCCGGCAGGCTTCTTCGCCACGGCGGCTGCGTGTTCCTGGGGCCAGCTCTCCTCGGGCGGGGCCTGGCGCTCAGCTGCTTCCCGACTCGCTTCCTGCCTCACACGCCCGCCCAGCCCAGGGGCAGTGTCTGTCGGCATTCCACGGCTGCCCTGCGCCCCGAGACCACTTTTACTCTCTTTTAGCAGTTAACCGCCTTTGACGTGCTAGTTAGCAGTTCTTGTGTCAGATTTCTCACATCTGGTTTCCCAGGCAGTGTGCTTTCGGTCTCCTAAGTATGTATTAAAAATGTCAGGATGACCAAGAAAATAGAGTAAGAGTAGCCAAAAGAGAGGAAATAAATATGACTTCCAAATTAAAGGTAGAAAAGAAAAGCTACTCCTCTTAGCGGCTTCATCCTCAGTGGCCCTGAGGTGACTCCAGAAACTCCGAGGCCGCTAAGAAGAGCCTGAAAACTTCTGTGTTAAATTAAGTGTGGCCACAGGCTCTTACACGAACTGACAAAATTCATATGAATGTAATTTTCAACTTATATTCCTTTCAAGTACTGTTGAACTTCCAAACTGCCTTATAGCAATTTCTTGGAGTGATTTATTCAATTCAGAGTATTTACATTTTTTATCTAATTTTACCCTTTTTATCTAAAGACTTTTATCATCAAACCCTCAAATCACAGGTTCTTCCAAATATGTAGGTCGGGGTTCAGAAATACAACGAAGAGCTGCAACCGAGAAGGCCGGGTTACGGCCGGTCTCGAAGCCGACGGTCACAGCGCCCGGCCTGAGTGCCCGAACGCCGGCGCGTCCTGCAGCCCCGTGCTGCTTCCCGGAAGTGCTCCCCGATACGGCCCTTGCCGAGCGACACCGGGGCCTGGGAAGCCGCCTCGGGCTGCTGCTCGCGAGGCGAGCAGACGCTGGGCCCTTGGAAAGTGGGCTGAGTTCGGAGAACAGAGAGGAAGGGGAGACCACGGCGGCCCTCTTTCATCCGCCGCAGTGGGACGAGCCACTGCGTGAGGAAGGCGCCGCCTCGGAGGCGAGAAGGGCCCTCGGGTGTGAGTAAGACACAGAGTCACGGACGACACTCGTCTCTGAAGTTCTTTATGCAACGTTTATTTGAGATTTCATGTCCTCATAAAAAGTGCGTTACATCAAGATGGCCAAAGACACTCGTTTATGAGGGACTTCTACCCACTGTCCATTTTACCCCATGATTCGTCGTCTACCCTAACATAAATGGTAAAACGCCGTTTCCTTCTTCCCTTGCTTTGGAAGGGCAACTGCCCCGAGGGCATCTCAGAAGCCTTTGTGCCCGCCAGTCCTTGCCAGGAGAGCAGCCGCTTCCTGCTGGCAGGACTCCAGCCACTGGCGTCCCTCTGGCCCTAGCCCAGGAGCCAGCACATCTGAACTTCAGGCAACCCGTAGCAGACCTGCGGTCTCTCTCCCTGGGCGCTGCTTTTACTCCCAAACGCTGCTTTCAGCCAGCATCACGTTTTGGGCACTCGAGAATTGCTGGAGAAACGATTGAGGACCGCAAGTTAATACAAGACTGTAACTCGGCAACTATTTCCGGTGTGAGAATCTCAAAAGCCCATAAAAATCACAGACATGAAGAATGGCTCAATACTAAGGGATGGATTCTGAGAACAGACACATTCTATACGTTTGTCTTAAGACAGGATCACTTCGGCAAAACTCAAAACGTCAAGAAGGCAATTTACACAGTAAAAATGATTTGGTCTGTTTCAGTAGGAAAGTACTTTTAATTTCTTTACTGCAGGTACAATGGCATCCACGTCGTCGATTTCTGTAATAGAAAAACAAGAACAAAGAAAGAGCAACGTTTTCCAGAGAGAAGCACAGACGGCCCGAGAGCCTCTGTGAGAGGCACCCCCCAAGCACGAAGGCAGCAAGGCTGGCGCTTTCGCACACGTCGCGTTTTTCTCCAAGAGCAGGGCTAGGTGACTGCTGACTGACACAGGTGCTGCTGCCACCGGCCCGCAGGCGTCCTCTGACTCCAGTCACCCTCATCAGCAGCTCGCGCTCCTCAGCCGACCCGCCTGGCCCATCTGTGACGCACTGCTGCCTTGTTACCTATGTAGCTACAGGGGCACGTCCACAGTGAAAGCCTGGGGTCGGCGTCTCTTCCCTGGGCCTCCAGCTGAGGACTCGGCATGTCTTCTCACGGAACACCGTCGCATCCTCTTTAACGCTCTTGGGACCGCTTCTCATTAGCGGGATCGCCTCAGGTGTGCCTTCGAGGGCGGAAGGGTCTGCCTGACAGATGCTGAGAGCCCCTCGGAGCGCAAGCCGCGGGTGCAGCGTCACCGGGCTCAGCCTGGTCCATGTGCCAGGTAACCCAGTGCAGCTTCTCCCCGCAGGCTCTTGCTCAGCCTCATGGTGCCTCACTCCAACCCGCCTGGCACGGAGAAAGCCAAGTCTTTCCTCCCATCCTCCAGACTCCGGTCCTACTTCAGGCGAGCCCCAAGGCAGCTTTTTGAGACACCCACGACTTTCCTTCTAGGTCACTGATCCTGGGCTCGTTTCCTGTCCATGAAACATGCTCCCCTGAGTTCTCACTTTCCCCCGTTTAGCTGGACTTTGATGGCTCGTCCTTGGCCTGACCCATGACCCAAGCCGTCGCAGAACCCGTTCAGTTCACTAAAGCTCCTGACCCCTCTCAGAATACGAGTCCGGCCCCACTTACAAAGCTCCAGGACACGGGAAAAGAAACCAGAGAAGCAGAGAGAAGCAAACCTGGAGCAGAGTCGAGCTTGCTCCTGACAGTATGCTAGGACACAAGATCAAGTTTATGCCCGACCTTCCCACCCTGAAACCACCTGTTTTCTCATGAAATGAGAAACCTGCCTTACAAATGGACCTCACAGACAGGGACCTTGGTTGATGGGGAATTTTCATAGCTAGTCACATCACTTACATGAGAAAAATAAAGGAATATATGTTTCTAAAAGCACAATTATCAGTGAAGGTAGTCTCCATATCTGGCATTAAGCATACCTACATGCTTAATGTCATTTAGTAATTTTTAAAAAGTCACATTTGACAAACATTTAACGATCCCAATGTGGAAGATAATACTTAACATTTAAACTTTGACCAAAATACAGAATTCATCTGCAGAGAAACTTGGCTTCTGGCAGCAAATGATCTCAGGGGGCGCAGGCTGAGGGTCACAGTATCTGAGGGGACGTTTTTGCAGAGCCTGCTGAAACAGGGCTGCCAGGAGCATGCCGGTGGAAACACTTTCAGATGTGTCAAGCGTGCATGAGTGGTGAGAATGCCACTGCTGAAGTCAGCTGCCCTCCCAGAGCAAGCAGGACGGGACTCCTCTGTGGAGCCAGGCTCTTCAGGGCCCAGGCAGCACGTGTACAGCTTCAGGCCTCGTCTCAAGTTAGACTTTCACTCCACCTCCCCTCGCGAGGCCTCTCTGAGCGAGCGTGCCTGAGCGCGTCACGCACTGTCCCCCGGCTTCCGTGGTCCACTCGGAGCCAGTGACCTCACTCCCTGCCTACGCCCGAGGCTGCAGGTTCTCGCCGGATGCCTCACTCCTGGATGCATCTTCCTGCCAAGTTTTGAGGAACTCGGCCCCTTATCCGCCCACCACACTCCACCTCCTCTGCTAAAATCAAGGATCCATTCTTTCTAATAAAGCAGCCTTTCAGATGCACTACAGAGCAAACAAGAATGAGCGAAGAAACCACTCTAAACTTCAGAAACGGCGCTTGATGGTCAGTTAAGTCGACAGCCCTGAGGACAGAGCCGCCCGCCTGCCTGCGTCCGAGCAAACCCCGTTCTCCCTTGGGAAGGCGCCAGCCCAATGGAGCCCTCAGGCAGACCTGCGGTGCGAGTGCCACATCCCATGTTTCCTCTGTGCGGATGGTCACCACTCTTCGCGACTTCCTATTACCTGAGAAGAAAGCTTCTTGGGACGTTTTTAAAACGCTGTGGGTAGGTGCTGTCTTAAAAAAAAGAGGAAGGAACTTCCAACTTGGTGTGGCCAGAGCAGTGTCATTTCTCGTGATAAGGTGCTCACACAAAGGCAGTCCCTGTCTCCTTTTGGGGGCTGTGCGTCTCTGTTCCGTGGACTGGGCCTAACAAACTCTACTGCAAGTTGGGGCTGTACTTCCAGAACTGTCACCAGTCTCCAGACATTCTGTTAGCAGCCTCCAGACACTATCTACCAAGCGCTCTAGGGAAAAACACGAATCCCATGACTAGGGAATACCCTCCCCTCAAACCCACTGACATCTTAAGTATTGAAATTTAACCACTACCAATAGCTCTTACCTAAGATTTCAAGGAGATCATTAGTAAATGCCTGAAATGCTGGGAAAAATTCCTCGTGTTCTTCCAGTTTGTTGATAATGCTGTTTAAAAAATGCACAGTTAAACCTAGTTTCCAACTTAAGGCTCTTGCCTCTGACTGCAAACAAGTGGTTACAAACAGAACATTTTCAGCATGGAAAGACACTACCTATCTTGCTAATTTAACTATAACCTTAGTGATCATTTACTATAAGTCCTTCCTTTTTGAGCTTTTTGTTCCTCTAATACCATTTTTCTAAGTTAAAAAAAAAGCATCTCCTAGGTTATCAGTGTAAACGTGCTAAATCTATATAACATTCCTAACATGGCAAGTCTCCCATTTATTTAGCTCAAGGCTTCTTAGACAGACCATGTTTTTATGGCATTTTCTAAAAATAACTGGCTTTTATATCCAGCATCCTATTAAGCATTAAGAAAAACTATCAGTAGTCAGTACAACTGGGAAGAAGGAAGCAGACCTATGATAGTGAGACGCCTATTTCTTTTGAAAGCATCAAATATCAGAAGGCTCTAGGGTCTGATTACATAAGTGTTCTTCTGTGAGAACTTGTGGGACACGTGGGCCCTGTGGCGTGTGCCTGTGCTTCCCTTTCCAGATGCTGCAGCATCGCGCAGAGGGTGGCATTGAGGAGGGCTGCTTCAAGGAGAGCTACAGCATCTCCAGGGTCTTAAAAACATGTGGTTTCATGTTAGAGATGCCAGTCTTTTCCAAACTCCTTAACATTTATCTCATAAGCAGATAATTAAGAAGCTGTTAGTGACAGTCAGTGGTCCATGGTAGTGTCCTAAAAATAGAACTTGCTATATAATCCCAACTCACATGAAGTTGCTAGTGAGGCCCGAATTTCTCCAATTTATTTTTCTCTGGGAGCAGGCTTATACCGAAGAGCTCCTGACCCTCTTCTAGACCCTGCTATCTATTTTTATCTTGAAAATACTTGGCTTTATCTCCTTGCCTAAGGGTGTGAGATTATTTTAGGTTGTCAAGTTGCTATCCCAAATAGGAAAGGCAAATAATTTAGGAAGTTTTGAGTCTTTAATTTCACCCCTCCAAGCATTCTGTATGACACTTTTTTTAAAGACAGGGTCTCGCCATGTTGCCCAGGCCGGACTCAGATTCGTGGGCTCAAGTGATCCTCCTGCCTCAGCCTCCCAAATACTCTGGATAGTACTTGGCACACTTTTCACACAAATACCTTTGAAGGTCTTCAGGTCCTAGTACCTGCTTAACCTGCTCAGTCACATCCTCATTAATCAGCCTACACAGTTTTCCAACGGTGCTCACAAGCACACACAATGAAGACGAACTGTCTGCAAAAGAGAAATGAAAGAACAGGATGTCTGAACAGACAGCTTCCAGAATCATCACATCCGTCAAAGAGTCTATGCTTCGGCTATCCTCAATTTTTTTACTTAGAAAAATTTTAACCTGCCTTTTGTTAGTTTATTAGGAACGATTCTTAAATGCGGCCCCAAATGACAAAGGGCCCTCACCTAATCCTAAGAGTTCTTGGAGGTTCCTCACAGCATTGTTCATTTCTCCAAGCCTAGTGTAAACTTCATTCATTCGAGGATAGATTCCATTGAAAGAAGGCACATCGAATAATTTTTGGAAGTGAGACACAACAGCTTGCAAAGTTTGAGAGTTCGGCATTTTACTGTCCTGTCCAAAAGAGAGATCAGAAGCAAAGTTCATGTTTCTGAATAATCCCAAATATTTAATAAAAACTTTAAAAAGAGAAATAGAACCCTAGTGGAACAAATATCAATATCCATGTCAAGTCATCATTTTAAAGATAAAGTACATTAAAATGTGACCATTTATATAAGTATCGGGATTACCTTCTCCTTATTGTCAACTTCTTCCAACATGGCATCTACTATAAACAACAAATCTTCAACTCTGAAACCTTCGTTTTCATCTTGTTTCTTCAAATCATGCCAAGGCACCAGTTCCGCAGATAGTATTTTCAAAGACTTATACAGACCCTTATGGAAAAAAGAGGAACTACACTGCATTGCTGATTTAAACAAATAGCTTCACAGTAACGCTACCGAAACATAATTATCCGAGCAGGTTATATGTGTGTGTGTACGTATGAGTATGTAAAGCCACCCATCATCAGTATTTTCTTTAAATACCAGGAAAATATAGGCTTTACAAAAAAATTATATGTCAATTATCTTGAATCGAGATGCTATGTAATTTCATGTTGCTTATTATTGTTCCATGTTATTAAGTAATGATTTTGAATCACTGTTACCTAAAAAGTAAGCATGTCCTTATATTTTTGTCTTGGAATATATAAGACTTTTTTTTTATTGTAGAGATGAGGTCTCGCCAAGTTGTCCAGGCTGGTCTCGAACCCGCAGGCTCAGGCAATCCACTCGCCTCGGCCTCCCAAAGTGCTGGGATGACAGGCTGAGGCACCAAGAAGAGCTTTGCTGAGACATAATTAATGTGCCATGACATTCGCCCTCAACGAGTAGTTTTCATCTTTTCACAGAGATGTGCAAACATCACCACGACCTAATTTCAGAACATATTCATCATTCCAAAAGTAAGCTTTCTGTGTACTCACAGTCCCTCCTATCCTAGCCTCCTCTTCCAGCTCCTGGTGTAACCACTGAGCTACTTTCTGTTTCTGTGGATCTGCTTATTCCAGGCATTTTACAGAAATGCAGTTATTCAGTAAGCAGCCTCTTGCCAATGGCTTTTTTCACTGAGCGTAATGCTTTTGAGATTCATTCATGTTGTCACTTGCATCTCCAGGCAGGCTTTTAATGTGAAAGGATCCCTAAATTAATGCTACTCCATCTTCATGATACCGACTGAGCTTTCTTGGCCCAGACATGTTGCCGAACCCATCTTCAGCTGTGCACAAGGGACAAGGCTGCTGAACGTTGAGGGCTCTGAGACTGATCAAGCGACACACACAAACTTCCTAAGCATCCAGCACAGGTTGTGCATCTGCAAGTCTGGTGTGCTTCAAAACCTGAAACCTGGGCAGCAGCGTGATGCTCAGGGCATGGCTCGGTGGGGCACTTGGGATATCTGGATCCAGGATGTTCAACTGCCATAGATCCTGCAACTGTTCCAAACTCTCTGGTCCCAAACACTTCGAATGAAGGATACTCAGCCTGCATATGCATGGCACAGCGCTTGGCTCTCAGAGCCATGCTGTCCCAGAGAAATGTAGCATGAGCCACAGTAATTTCAAATGGTCTAGCAGCCACAGTATGGAAAGTAAAAAGAAACGAGTGATGTTTTATTTAACCCAGTATATCCAAAATACTATCATTTCAGTATATAGTCAATATTTTCATTCTTTTCCACACTAAGGCTCACTGGCCACACTTTAGTGCTCAGTGGTCACAAGTGGCCAGGGGCCACCACGCTGGACAGTGGAGCTCAATGACACAGATGGAAGCCCAATAAACGCCTCTTGCTCTGAACTTCTTGTTTCAGTCCTCCACTCCCTGGACACTCCCCAGCTAAGGCCCAAGGCCTCACACCACTATCTTCAACCCTTCATTTGGTCGGAAGACAGGCACCTGTTTTAGCAATTCACAGCAATAAATTCAGTGCCAAATGAAGGTTTACAACCGGTGCCACTAGAATTTGAAAAAAAGCCAGCAAGGAACAGCATAATGATACCTCTACCTAAGCAGCACTTGAGTCGCGAGGCGCATTTATAAAGAACTGGCACGGAAAAAGCACAGCCAGTCTTACACACGTTTGCTTGAGAGCTTTTTCCGAAGAGCGCCGCAAAGCTAGAAGCTGTCCTGGTCTCCCTCCCAGTGAGAAGCGCAGCCCGCCCGGCAACTCTGAGACATTGGGAGGGCGCCCTGCCCGCGGCCCAGCTGCGAGGTGCAGAAGTGCCACCGAGCCTGCCGCCCTCACCTCCCTCGCTGGGCTTGGCGCACTGGGGCTAGCGCCGCCGAGTCGAGGGCAGGGGCCGGGGAGCCACAGCCCCCGCACGCAGCTCGCCTTCCCTGGACAGGCGGAAGGAAGGAGGCAGCCAGATGGCTCAGGCCTTCCCCAGCTACGGCTCTCGCCTTCCACGTCTAGACAGCGGCAAATGCACATGCAGGAAGCCATGGTCTTAACCATTCCGAGTGTAAGTTCAGTGTTGGCAAGTATGTGCTGGATGGCGTGCAGCCATCACCACCATCCATCTTCGCAACTCTCCTCGCCCACAAGGAAAGGACTCCCCATTCCCTCTTCCTGCAAACGACCACCGCCCTCCTCTGACCCGGCAGCTCGCAGATGCAAATCCGCACGGTGTTGGTCTTTCTGCAGCCACCAGGCACGCTGCCCTCGGGATGCCCCCGTCGTGCGGGCCACAGCTTCCGCCTCTCATGGCCGAGTAACAGCTCGAGGCAAGCCTGCGCTACACTTCACTCATTCAGCCATCCCTCGAACCGATCCGTCTCTCTTAAGCCAAGTCCAACCTGAGGGAGAAAACGAGCCTGGGAAGAGGGCTGTTCCGAACTCAGAGGCTGCCACACCATGAAGAGCCTTTGCTTTGACGTGAGGCCTCAAAGAATCTCATGTCATTTCTCAATCTGGACCCTGAAACCACAGCATACACATCTGAGGCACTGCCAAAAGCCACGCGTCACCCCAATGGCAGAAGCAACCAATTCCAAACCATAATCTCTTCTTGGGCGTTATCAGAATATTCTCACCATAAAGCTAACTCCTGGCTTCCATCGACACGGAAAACTACACAACGGCAGGAACGCGGCACCACTGGGAGCCTTCCCTGGGCCGTCACCAGACGTGCTCCCCTGCTCCCCGACTCCACAGCCCATGTGGCCAACCCCACTCACTGGGAGCTTCACCCCAGGTGACCTATTTTTACAGCATTCCCTTCTTTTAACAACCTCATAAATGATTATTTAAATTTTGTTTTGTATTCCTGAGTATATTTTCTCTCTCCAATTAGTCTGAATCTCATGTTTACCTTTTCTGATACCTCCAATCATTCCTTACACATCGTAAATAATCAATAACTATCCATTCATTTGAGGCTTCCCTCTGCTTTCTTCCTCTTCTAGTCTCTTCTCTTGGGAAGGCGAGGGCTTTTTCTAGTCCATCTCTTCTGAGGAGGAAGGTGGTTAGCACTGTTCTCTCCCACAGGGAGACTCCTCCAACAAGCAATGACTGGGGAAATGCGAGTTACACGATCAATCGCTATTTTACACTCTTCTAAGATATAGACTAGAGGAACTCAGGCCTACAAAATAAGTATGTTAATCCAGCATTGTCACCCGGTCAAAACGTTTAGGTGTTGTATAGCTGTCTGAGCCCCAAATAAAAAGGGGCCAGGTGCAGTGGTTCATGCCTGCGATCCCAGCACACTGGGAGGCTGAGGCAGGAGGGAGGATCACTTGAGCCCGGTCTGGGCAACACAGTGCGATTCTGCCTCTACAAAAATTAAAAAATGAGTTGGAGTCCCGGCTGTTTGGGAGCTGAGGCAGGAGGATCACCTGAGCTGAGATCACGCCATGGTGCTCCAGCCAGGTAGTGGAGTGAGAGCGTGATTCCCCCACTAAAAAGGATGGGGGGAAGTCGAAATTTTTTAAACCTCTTTTTTTTGGTCTTAGAATATATTATTATACTTCATTCTTTTAACACATATTAGCTGAACATTCATTATGTATCAGGAGGATGCTTAGGACATATCAGAGAACTAAAGTAAAACTCTGTCTTCACGGAGTTCTCACATTCTTACAGGTATCTCTGCATCATTTGAACTTGATGTGATCAGGCCTCTGCTGACAAATAACGTGTTCAGAACTTCTTGATTGAATCACATCTTCATTAACAGAGATATGTATGATATTAGTTACTGAAAAATCGAACGTCATTAAGGGGCACTTTTGCCATTCACTTTTTAGTAATCTAGCCTATAAAAACTGAAACAATGGAAGCTATACAATAAAGAATACACAGTAACTCCATAAAGCGGATATACTTTAATCTCCCATGAATAGACAGGACAGGTAAGAGCAGGGCTGGCGGCCAGCTGTTTACCTGCTCTAGGGAATGGGCAGGCACCAGGATGCCCTGGGTGAGCCAAGCTCTGAGAGGAGGAGGATGACGCAAGGATGAAGAGAGAGAATGTCCCCAGCTAACAGGGAATGAAGGACGAGCTCCTGCTCTGAAGAGGAGCGAGGACAATACGGGACAGTCTGCAGCATGGAAGCACCAGCAAGGCCAGTCGAAGCAGGGCAGGGAAAGGCCCGGAGTGCGGGAAACCCACCGTAGCCTTCAGAGGGAAGTGAGCCAAGGAGGCAACACTGACAGCAATGACAGCGTCACACAGACAGTGTGTAGATAGGAAAGTAGGAAGGTTCCTGTGGTAGATAACACTAATACGCTTTACTGTGAACACAAACAAAATCATGACACCCAGGCCTACTCACGAAGCCCACAGAGCCCAAGAGATGCTCGGAGCACGAAGAGCCTGCCCGCCCCTTACCTTGAGGGATGCCAGCTGGTCTGCCCACATCTCGATTACAGGAACAAGGTGCTCAAATCCACAGTCTTGAATAAGGTCGTTATTAAAATGTTGGACTCCTCCTTTGCTCTGTTTATAAATTATTACTGGAGCTCTTGAATTGTGAATAACCGAATTGATGCTACACAGCACCTTAAAAAAGACAGCGTGTTCAGTCAGTACGCCCATGCTTTGCCCCCAAGTGACGTACGGTAGAGGAGCGCTCTGTGGGTCAACGTCGCGTCATTTTCAGAGTTAATAACTTTAGGTATTAAGATCTTTAAGGAGATTGACCCTTGTAATCTTTTACAATGGTTTCACTAATGTGGTCCACTGTGTGAGTTCTAATGAGAACCAAAAGCCCTGCAGAAAAACTAAAATGAATTTTAAAATGAATCTGACTTAACGACAGCTATGTGCGCCCACCACGCTCCGTGCACAGAAGAACCGCCCCGCCATCCTTCACCGTAGGCTCCACACTGCTCTACTTCTGTCTTGCGGCATTTAATCCAAAAAGGACGTTCAAGAAGCTTTTCCTGCTGCTTTGCAGCTGCAGCTCAAGTTCTCTGTGAGACAATGAGTAAATCAAGCCCCGCACATTCTCAGGAGAAGACCGGGACACCTCACGCAGGTCTTGTGAGAGGGGATCCAGCTGATCCTCAAGTAACCAGCCTCACCAAAAGCGTCACAGAGATGCGTTAGACAGGACTCAGCAGGAAGGTGAGATCAGGACTCTGCTGATCTTTAGAGGAATACCAGAGGCCGTGAGTAGAAGATGCACCTGTGCGCGCGCTCTCCATCGAAAGCCACAACGAGCCGGTCTTCTGAGACTGACTCCCAATGTTTCTTCACAAGCACTTTTTTGTTGCTGTTTTAGTAGCAGAGCGTATCTCAGTATTTCACTTTTATTATCTTTCAACTCACCTATTAATACCATTTTAATGGAAAAAATAATAAATTTGCCACCACCAAATGATGAGTGGAGTAGGAACACGGCCTCCTTTTCTCCTGCCTCCTCTCAAAGGTAAGGAGGGCGGCAGGGGGACTCTTGAAAGAGATCAGGCAGCTGACACCACCTGCGCTTCCGACGATCACAGGGCAACCTCTGTTGCGGGAACAGGAACCAACTGGGATCACACATCTAGCTGGCAGTATGTGTCTATACACTGTAGATGACTGTTTGCAAAAATGGTTGCAATTTTGCAATTTCTCTCCCCCACATCCCTGCACCCTTGCAGAGTGACACTGAGGATTCTCCCCTCAAGAGGCAGAGTCTGTGTCCCACCCCTTGAATCTGGGCTGGTCTTGGGCCTTGCTTTGGCCCACAGAATGCTCTGGAAGGAATGTCAGGGCGGGGCACAGCCCAGGTCTCAAGAGGCCTGATCACGTCTGCTCTTTCTATTTACACAGTGTAGGCAGCACTGGTGGTAACGACAGACACAGGACCCAGCCATGCCCTCACCCTGAGCCGGTCTCCACCATGCTCCCAGAGGCAGAGCCGCTTGACGGACTGGTATCTCGCAGCAGATGCATGAGGCAGCCCCGCCAAAATGAGCGGAGTGGCCTAGCTATCCAAGCATGATGATATGAAGGGCTGTGATGCTAAGTCGCCAAGTCTCGGGATGAGTTTGCTATGGACCGAGACACACACAAGCACCCAAACAGAACAGGGCAGTGAGAGGAGGCAGCAACAAGAGAAGCCTGGCCTCTTACGTCGGGTAGGGCAAGAGTACACCCTGTGGCCACGTGGACGTTCCGGGGGAGAGCCAAGCTTTGCCTGTGGCTGGAGGACCCTAGAGGCTCATCACCTGAGGACAGAAGAAGGCGAGGGATTCATGAAAGGCCAGCTCCAAAAGGCAGTGCCCCAAAATGAGCGGCACGTGGCCAAGGCCCCTCGCTGCTGGGGAGAGAACCACTAAGACACACACACGTGCTCCACGGGATTCAGCGACAGGCAGCATGTAGTCATCAGCCACACAAGGACACGCCTGCTCAAATACAGCAGCACCACTCAAGGAAGAGGCGGCCCTCTCTCCGCTCTCATGCGCCACCCTTCTCTGCCAGTCCTAGAGAAGCCAAATGGAGCCGAGGCCGAGGAGAGAAGGTGGAGCCAGACGATGGGCAGCCACATCCCCCGCCCCACGCGTCTGCAGAAGCGCAGGTCAGGCGCCAGGCAGAGTGGACAGAAGGCGGAAGCTTTGAACGGCGGAGGGACGGACGCTTCCACCGAGATATGAAAGGACTTTTTGCTCCCAACTTTTTATTACGAAGATTTTCAAACACAGAAAATTGAAAAGTGCGCGCGCGCATGTGTGTGTATTATATGTATATACATATCTCACTGTATTAGGGCTTTTCAGAAAATCAGAACCAATAGGGTGTGTTTGTATAGCATACATCATTCCCCCTACACAAGCTCCTTATATCTAGAGAGATTTATTCCAAGGAGTGGGCTCATGTGAATATCAGGAAGGCTGACCGGTCCCTCGACCTGTAGTCAGCAAGCAGGGGCCCAGGAGGCCTGAAGCGCGGCTGCAGTCTGAATGTGAACAGGCTACAGCCCTGGAAGCGCTCGGGTGTCAGTTTCAGTCTAAAGGCAGGAAGAACATGGATGTCCCAGCTCAAAGGCAGTCAGGCAGGAGAAGTTCCCTCCTAATCAGCCTTTCCTTCTAATCAGCGTCAACTGGTGGGACGAGGCCCTCCTACACACAGGAGGGCAGCCGCCTTTCCTCAGCCTACTGATTCAACTGTTAACCTCGATCAGAAACGCCTGGAATAATGCTTAACCAAACGTCTGGCATCCTGTGGCCCCATCAAGCTGACACAAAATTCACCATCACAAACACCCACAAAATCTACCTAGGTTCAACAATTGTTAACATTTTGCCATATCTGTATTTTTAGCTGAACCATTTGAAGAAAATGCAGACATCACAACTCTACCCTCAAATAATGAACCACGCATCTCTGAAAAGTGCATATTCTCCTACAAAACCCCAATATCATTGTCATACCTAGGAAAACGAACAGGCTGGGCATGGTGGCTCATGCCTGTGATCCTAGCACTTTGGGAGTCTGAGGCAGGAAGATCATTCGAGCCCAGGAGTTCAATACCAGCCTAGGCAACAGAGTAAGACCTTGTCTCTACAAAAATTAAAAAAAGAAAACAGCTGGGCATAGGGGCAAGCACCTGTAGTCCCAGCTGCTCGGGAGGCTGAACTGGGAGGACCACTGGAGGCAAGAGATCGAGGGTGCAGCGAGTCGGGATCATGCCCCTGCACTCCAGCCTGGTGACAAGGCGAGACCCCGTCTCAAACAAATGAAAGCAATAAAGAGAGAAAGAAGGAAAAAAAGGAAGTTAGTTAACAAAAACCCCCTAGTCTCATTCATGCCTGGACTGAATTTTAAGTCTCTTAACATGGGCACTGTTTGACCTCAACACTCTCCCCGTAAGTGATGAGTAGTTCACTTTACCCGTCAGCCAAGGAGAAGAGAGACTCCCAGCAGCATATTTAAAGAGAGACGAATAAGGCCATGTCCTGCTCATCACAATCAAGTCCAGCCTATTTAATAAATAATCACACAAGTATGAAGACAAGACACACTTTGATATTGATGCTTTGGCCCTGGTCATGCTTCAAGCTACAGGAACAGTCTCCTGGCACTATGAGTTCAGATGTTTATTTCACTTCTATTATATATGCTATTACATTCATTTTCATGAAAAATGGGTTCCCCTTCCCTTAATCATCACTGACAGTTGAGCATATTCTTCCTGACTTAACCACCTTGACGATTGGTAGCCAAAGATATATTAACAACGAGAAAGCCACAAAGATGACTAAAACAATTCCAAGAGATGTGAGGATGAAAAAAGAAAACAATATAGGTCTTACATTATTTGGAGCATTTACAGATATTGATACGCTCTTGATATTGACTTTAAAACATTTTTAAGGGCAATCATCTGGAGAAGAGGAAGAATTAAGATGATGAACTTCCAAATACTTGAGGATAAAAAGACAAAGAAACTTCAACTAATCCAGCAAATGTCAAGAAAAGAAAAGAACAAGAGATCACTGGATATCCTGCAGCTACTAAAAAATAAAAGATACATTTAATTAAAAAAAAAAATCAAACAACAAGAAACCATGTAAATGGAAAACCGAAAGATGTCAGGAATAATAAAAGAAATATGAGTTGGTCTCAGTGGTTATGAATGGCTGGGTTCCTTTTTATTTTTATTTATTTGTATTTCAGAGACAGGGTTTTACTCTGTCACTCAGGCATTAGTGTAGTGGCATGATCATAGCTCACTGCCACCTTGAACTCCTGAACTCAAGCGATTCTCCCACTTCAGCCTCCCAAGCAGTTTGGACTGCAGGTACACGCCACCACACCTGGCTAACTGTTTAACTGTTTAAGAGATAGGATCTCACTATATTATCTAGGCTGGTCACAAACTCCTGAGTGATCCTCCTGCCTCAGCCTCTCAAAGTGCTGGGATTACAGATGTTAGCCACTGCACCCAGCCCCTCGGGCTCCCCCTTTTAAAGGATAAAGCCTCTCAAATCGAATGTAAAAACCAAATAAAGGAGAAAAAAATCCAGGAATATACTGGCACAAGAGAGATCTAAACAAAATAGTTTTCAACCCACTCACAATAGCAATACAAGCTGTCAAATACCTAGGAAACAAGCCTAATAACAAATACGCAAGAACTGAATTTAAAATACATACAGCTCTACTGAGGACTGCAAAAGAAGACCTCAATAAAACAAGAGACACGGTTCAGAATGATTAAAAACTGTAAAGGTGTCAATTCTCCAAACATTAATCCATAAAGTCAGTTCAATTTCAGCTAGTCTCAATAGGATTTATTTTTTAAATTGAACAGCTGCTCATCTAGAAGAGTGAATATATGAAAAATACAGCCAAGGAAGATTTGGAAAAGAAAAATGATAAGATACTTGCACCAGAGAGTATCAAAACCTACTATAAAACCACAGAATTAAAATCATATGGAAATAGCTGAGAAATGGGACAGACTAGCGAATCCATAAACAACCTTTTACATATAAAAGAATATGATCTTTGGTAAATGTGGCATTTCTGTAAAGTAGAGAAAACAGTGGCCCACCAGAGACTGCAGACTTGCTGCCCAGAGCATTCAGAGTGGCCAGGGTCGTGGCTGACCAAGGAGCGTGCACCCCTGGTCGGCAAGGGAGAAGCATAGTTCTGCTCCGCTCACAACCAAGCAGGACTTAGTTGCCAGATCTTCTGGCTTTTTTTTTGAGTTGCAATCTCAATCCATCACTCAGGCTAGAGTGCAGTGGCATGCTCATGGCCACCCCAGCGTCGCCCTGCTTCTGGCTTTTTAAGATGCTAGAAATAAGTTTAGTTTTAATTTATTTTTAAAAACTAAAATTTCTTAATTAAAAAATTGATAAATTTAAAATTTTAAAATTCCATATGGGTTCATTAAAATATGAGTGAGGGTTCAGTGCCACCCCTAAATTAACAGGCTTAACTGCTCAACTATTCAATAAATGGCCTGTAAAACCTGGAAGGTCAGATGCCCCATATCACACCAATGGAAAATTAAATTTCAGATGAACTAAATATCTAAACAAAAACAAAACCATATAAGGACCCTAAGAAAGCAGATTTACTTCTATCATAATAGCAACAACAAAAAATAAAAAGGAAATGGCTTAAAGGGGAAGAGTAGAGGAAAAGGATTAGAAAATCTTTTAAAAATCTTAAATAGTTTTTTTACTATCCTGCTTGGACCTAGGCCAGAGTCTCTTCTAAGAGGTAAGACAAACTCTGCCATATTTTTAGTCAAATAGGTATTGTTGTGGTAAGACAAGACAGAACCAGCACACACCAACACAGGGAGCGAGTATTCCTTGCCAAGTGCTAACTTATTACGCTGCAACTGAAGCCACGCGTCATTACAGGCATTGGTCTCCCTCAGTGACTCCATACCTGAAAGTACCTCTGGTCGAGCAGGGCCTGTTGCTGATTGTATTTGCCAGGCTCATCTTTTTTCTCCGTGTCCTCGGCCTTCTTATGACTGATCAGCTCCTGTAACCTAAAGCGGGAAAAAGTAAAGACGATGCAAAATCCTTTCCCAGATACTGGATTACAATGACAAACTAAGCCAATGACCCAGCCACCCTCCCGACAGCCTTAAGTCATTTTACTTATGGATGTGTATACACACACATATACACATATTTGTATTTATGCACATATACACACAGACATGCATACATAAGGCTTAAAAAATGTTAAGTCATTTTGTCACTAAAAAACAAAAAGTTTCTCTCGATGGGCCACAAATTAGAAGAAATCTCTGAACACAGAAGGGTTCAGACTGAAGAAGAAATCTCACTAGTCATCAAGGAGATGCAAATTAAAACTACACTGAGATACCACCTAACTCCAGTCAGAATGGGCATCATCAACAACTCAAAAAATAACAGATGCTGGAGAGGATGCGGGGAAAAGGGAACACTTCTACGCTGTTGGTGGGAGTGTAAACTAGTACAGCCTCTGTGGAAATCAGTGTGGCGATTCCTAAAAGCTCTAAAAACTGACCTCCCATATGACCCTGCAATCCCCCTACTGGGAATATACCCTGAAGAACTCAAATCACTCTATAAAAAAGGTACCTTCATACATGTTTATCGCAGCATTGTTCACAATAGCAAGATGATGGAACCAACCATGCTGTCTATCAAAAGAGGACTAGATTTTTAAAATGTGGTACATATACACAATGGAATATTATGCAGCCATAAAAAAGAACAA